GTTAAATCTAAGGCTTTCTTTTTCTTATCTAATGGTGAGAAGATTTAAGTAATTTTGGCCCTTAATAGGTGACAGAAATTGTTACTAATACCACCATGTCATAAAGATGTTATTATGAGGCAGTCTGGGGGAGTGGGGGAAGTGGACCTGAACTGCGGCACTCTGGTTCCTAGCTATGTTTTCTTTTTGATTTCAAAATCTGTGTGGTCATTTAGATTCATAAGTCAGAACTAAGAAGTTTCAGCTTCTGAACTCAGTTATTTATTTAATGCCTAATACTTTGCCAAGCTGCCTTGTTTGTTTGTTGATGTTGTTAATAGTAGCTGTAAAGGTTCATTTATCAACTCCTGTATTCGCTCCATTGCATGAAGTCTTTGGATTTCTATGTAGAAAGAGGGCATATAAACCTTGTAAAATGTGGTATTAAGGAAAATTCCAGGGGTATAGTATCTTCAGGTTTTCTTTTCATAAGGGTAACATCAAAGTAAAATAACTTTAGATATTAAACAATTACTAAGTACCAATGATGAGCCAGTTATTGAGCTAGGTATTTTTAAATTATGTATTACTTTATTTGTCATCAAAACCTTTTAAGGTAGGAGTTATTTTTGTCCCTTTTTTGAGTTCCAGAAATAAAAGTTGAAGTGATTGTCTTAGTAGTTTTTATCTAACACCGAAACCCAGGGCTTGCACTATACCATATTTTTTCTTTTTAGGTTAAAAAATAATTTTCTACAATGTTGTATTTTAGGTTATCAAAAGCAGCTGTCGTTCAAAAACTTTGATGGTTCATTTAGTGTGTTTTGGCAGAAGAATGAGGAAGGAAGCATATGGTGAGAGAAAACTTTTCTTTTAAATAATATAGGAATTATCTGAGGAAGGTTTGCAAGGAGATGCGAGGGATTGAGTTCAGTAAAGAATTGCAAACAAAGTGGGTTTCCAAGTGAATTTACAGAAGAGAATCAGATAAACTAAAAGATTTGTTTTTTCTACTTCCAGTGCAACAATGTACCAGTCTCATGGCAGTCTGCTTAGCAATCTGGCTATCTAAGGATGGCCCCTATACTTGCACAGCTGGTTAACTCCATGGAAAATGGTATATCCTACTCTGCACTGCTCAGAGTCCCGTACAGATTCAGGAAAGTGAACCTCAAAGGCCCCAAAGCATTTGATTACACCAATTCTGTCTTCATGTATGTTCAGTCTAAAGGACTATATAGAGACTTTGCACGTAAACAGGCTGTAAATTACCTACTCTAATTCTCATGTATTGCTACACATAATATTTTACTAAGCCAAAGGAAAGAGCCACTGTCAATAAAGACTGGTTGCAGTCAACATTAGACCAATCGAATGTAACCATGACCCAGAGGGAACCCTGGTGGTGAGCCTGTGGAAGAGTTGACATCAGCATCTCCCTTTATCTAATTTTGTTCTGGTGATTTGCATTACAGGCTCAGTGCTCTTACTTTTAAGACATTGGAGACAATGAAAAAGTATGTGTTCATTGATGAAAACATTCAAAAACAGACCTTAATCTGGCTTTCAAGCAAACAGAAAGGAAATGGCTGCTTTGAAAGCGATGGCAAGCTTTTCAACAATGCCTGGGAGGTGAGAGACAAACAGAATAGGCTTTCCTTGCTCCTTTGCATGGCCTCCCTGATCTGGAACGCAGGTATCTTTCTCATGACGACTACACATCCCAAGTCTGCTGCAGTCCTAGGCCTGCAGGGCACTGGTCAACAGCATCACTCCTGTGGCATGCGTGTTCAACCATAGCTCCTCCTGAATCTTTCCTTTGCCTTACTCAGTCTTTAGTCCTTCCAGAGTGTCAGCCCTCTGCAGGAAATAAACTGGGGATAGACAGAAGGGAGAGGAAAGGGAGCCTCCAGAGGACACATCTATAAATTTGGAACCAGACAACACATTAAGGGAGGGGGCCTTGAGTGTATAAGGTGTGTAAATTCATTCCTATTCACAGACAGCAAGAAAAATTGGGGGAAAACATCTACTAATTTACAGTGTCTCCGTGAAACAAGCTCTTCCAATACTCTCTCAAGGAAAAGCATAAAGGCTAAGCTTATTGTAGGCCAAAATACAAATGAGGTGAAGTCCTTTTCCTTTTCCTGCCCATATTTAGGTAAACCATTAGGCATTGTCCATTCTCTCTGATTTCCTTTCTTCTCAGATAGCTGCCCACCTCCACCCCGTCCTCTGTCTCCTTTCTTCTGCTAGCCTTTGTGTTTCTCTCTGGATGCTCAAAATCCCCTACCATATCTTAACATTCCCTGATAGCCCCTGACTTTTCTTCTGCATCCTTCTTTATAATCACCATTCCTGTTCTTGGATTGTAGAATGTAAATATAATCCACTTCAAGATATGGATGAATGGCAACTCCCTATGGTATTTATTTTTAATGCAAATTGTTTTCAAATTGCTTTACTCTTTTATGTAGGTGTATGGGGGGATGTCTTCAAATCATTCCAAACCTGTTCCTCAACAGGCAGACCCTGATGGAAAAGAGCTCCTGTTCCTCTGTAGAAAATCAAAGACTTTCTTATGTTCTCTTCTAAAACATCTGCTCCACATCTTTCTTACTAAATTCCTTAGTGACCACTACCTCAGGCCTGTCCGATCTTACCCAATATTTCTCCATAGTTACATGTGTGCGTGTGTTTTGAGTTGGGAGGAAGAAAGAGGCAAGAGAAAAATAAAAACGTGAACTGTGGAGGAATGGTGATACTACTCTGTAATTTACATGTGCTGCAGGTCCTCTTATCTTATTTTAGTGTCACCATGTACAGTTATTTGCACCTTGTAAACTAGCACATCAGAAATATTCTTTTTCTGAAGAAGAGAGAAGGTGTCTTTTGCTTAAATTAATAAAACAAGAGGTTTATACTACACCAGTGGATCCTAAATGCCAGTCCGAATGCTATTTGCATCACTGGAGCACAAGTCGTTTCCCCATCTTTTTCCTGAGTTTTTGGATCAGAATCTCATGTGTGAATGCTGGTTTAGTTAATGTTTAAGTTGTCCAGGGAATTTTTATTCACAGTTTTCAAACCACATGATTTGTAAATGTTTTCCTAATTTTACCCTGTAAAAATCTATTATAACGTCTGAGAGTACTTTTCCAGGGATTTTCAGAAAACTTCACAGCAACTTTCTGTTCCACTTCATGAGATATTCTTTGTTTGCCTTTTCAAATTAATACCAAATTAAACCTGACGGAGACATACGAATTGCTTAGAATACATGCTTAACACCAGGCCACATAAATATGATTATTTATGTAATTAAGTATACTTGAAATTAATTGTGTCATGTTTTATGTAATTATTACATTGGATCTTGATGGATTCTTGTTCAGATAGCATGGCTATTAATCACCTAATTTAAAAATTACACATGTTCAGGTGTTTTTATTAGTAATAGTATTTGTTCCAACATTTTTTCATACCCAGTTACACTTCAGAAGAGGGGCTGTTCTTTTGTCCTCTACTATCCCACATGAATCCTTATTTTGTTGTTTTTAGGGCAGAGATGAAGAGGATGTTTTACTCACTGCATACATTGTTGGAGCATTCCTTGAGGCTGGGCTCAATTTCACTGTATGTATCCCACCATCTTCTGCTTTGTCAGCTGAATGCACATTAAATAGACTATAGATTCAGGATGATTTGAAATTCTTAGACTGGATGAAACATCAAGAGAACATTTAACTCATTACTGCCCTTTAAATTGATGCTATTCAAAGTTTTTGGATTCATAGATACCTTTGATGAGCACTATTGGACTTTTCCTTGAGGAAAATACACTTATGCACACATACACAAGTATTTTATGCAATTTCAGTTATCGTCTGAAGTCCACCCATAAATTTCTGATTAAGAGCCCCTGCTCTAAGTAAACCCATAATCTAGTATTCTGTTTCTCTCTAAACAATCAGTAAACATTTTCAACTTAAGTGTGGTTCATCCTAGCTATGTTCTAATCTGTAGGTCAGATTATCTGATTCCAAAATCTATTCCTAAAATAAGATGCTAGGAATTTTCAGGGTCATTAGCATATATTTTGAAAATTATCTCCAGAAATGTAAGCCTTTATTTTAGGCGTTAGAGTAAATTATCTTTGTTCCAAAAATAAATTTGTATGCTTTGCCACATAAAAAATAAAATAAAATACTAATCAGATATAAAAACTGCCAGTTTCTTACTACTTAAATTTTATTTCTCATGTACTAATAATGACATTATAAATTTATTTTAATGATATTTTTGAAGTATAATACATATGTGTATATGTGAATAGGTTCATATGTAAAATATACTTCAAGGATATGTACATTATAAATGATGATTAGTTTAAACATCTAGCAAGCTTATAAAATGTTCCAGAATCATTTAAAAATATATATTTGTATTTTTTTTTTTTTGACTAGTTTCCTGCTCTGCAAAATGGGCTTTTTTGCCTTGAGGAGGCCTTGAAAAGTGGTGTCACTAATGGCTACACTCATGCAATTCTAGCTTACGTTTTTGCATTAGCTGAAAAGGAGGAGCAAGCGGAATCCTTGCTCCAGACCCTGGATCAATCTGCTACAAAAATAAGTAAGTCTTACTCATTTTTGCTAATGGAGATGATCTTGAAAACAAAGTGATGAAACTTACTAAGGAATCACATAGGAATCCTTCTTTATCAGTACGTTTCTCTCTCTCTTATGGAATTTATCAATGGCCCTTTATCTTTTTTTTTTTTTTTAAAATTGATTATTTATATTCATGGGGTACAAAGCTGACCATCACCATTTGTGTCCAACATGCGATGGCCAGATCAATACTATCAGCATGCCCATTACTACAAACTGTGATTATTCCCCATGTCCACCACCCAATTAATCCCTGACCTCCCTCTTCCCCCCTCCCCCATCCCACCCCACGTAACCCTAGGTCTGCTCTCTCCATCTGTGAGTCCAACACACCACTGTGGTCTTTCTTTCCTTCTTTCTCTCTTAGCTCCCACTTATGAGTGAGCACACGTGGTATTTCTCTTTCTGTGCTTGGCTTATATCACTCAACGTAATTTTCTCCAAACTCATCCATGTTGCAGCGAATGGGAGAATTTCATTCTTTGTTATGAATGGGTAGTAGTCCATGGTGTATATATATACCACATTTTCCTTATCCAGTCATCCATCGATGGACATTTAGGTTGGTTCCATATCTTGGCTATCGTAAATGGAGCTGCAGTGAACATGGGAGTGCAGGTATCCCTTCACCATGATGATTTCAATTCCTTTGGGTAGACGCCCAGTAGTGGGATTGCTGGATCGTATGGTTCTATCTGTAGTTGTTTGAGAAAACTCCCCACTGTTTTCCATAGTGGCCCCACTGACAGTGCAGGAGTGTTCCCTTCTCTCCACATCCTCGCCAGCATTTGCTGTTCTCCATCATTTCCATTACAGCTGATCTAACTGGGGTGAGATGATGTCTCAGTGTGGTTTTAGTTTGCATTTCCCTGATGATTATTGATGCTGAACATTTTTTTAATAGCCCTTTATCTTTAAACAACATTATATATATTAAATATCCCTCTTTCTCTTTTATGCTAGTTTCTTCTCAAATGAGTGAAATAGAGGAAATCAAGCATGGTGACCATGACACAGACTGAAATAACTACTTGTGAAACCTCATTATACACCACTTCTGACTTCCGCAAGTTTCTATTTGTGGCTGTATTAGTTTCTCAGACTGTCATAACAACATACCACCGACTGGATGATTTAAACAACAAAAACTTATTTTCTCACAACTGTAGAGGCTAGAAATTGAAAATCAAGGTGTCGGCAAGTGTGGTTTCTTTGCTGTAGATGGCTGCTCCCTCTGTCTTCACATGGCCTTTCTTCTGTTTGCATGCATCCCTGGTGTCCCTTTTGTGTGTCAAAGTTTACTCATTTTAGAAGGACAGAGTCAGATTGGATTATGACTCACCCTAATAGCCTCATTTTAAATTAATCACATCTTTAAAGGCCCTATTTTTAAATATAGTCACATTCTGAGGTACTGTTAGGACTTCGATATATGAATTTTTTTTTTTTTGCAATCCTCCAATATATGAATTTCAGTTGGATGCAATTCAGCCCATAACAGTGGCCAAGAATGGAATCTGCGTTCTTCTTACATGTAACCAGTGCTTTTTATAGGGACTATGTGAATGTCCTTCTTTTCTTCTCAGATAATATGGTATATTGGGAAAGAGAAAAGAAACCCAAGGTGGAAGAATTCCCATCCTTTATTTCTCGGGCATCTTCTGCTGAGACTGAAAAGACTTGCTATGTGCTGCTGGCTGTCATTTCCCGGAAGCTTCAGGACCTTACCTATGCTAGTAAGATTGTGCAGTGGCTCGCCCAACAGATGAATTCCTATGGAGGCTTCTCTTCCACCCAGGTGATTGATATGGGCCTGATGTTAATAACAATCTATTTAACACAGAAGATAGCAAAGAAAAATACATTCTGAGATGATGAATATTTGATATTATAAATCCTTATATTTATTGAGTCAACAGTTATTTATGGGGAAGTTATTATGTATTGGGCACTCTACAAGGAAGTCTCTATACACAAATGAATAAAATGAGGTCACCTTTTCAAGGAATTTATACCCAATTTATATCTCCATTTACACAGTAAAAATAGAATGTAAGTCTAGAAGAGATTTTGGTCAAAAGCATCAGTCTTGGTGATATGTTTGATATCTAAAGATACTATGACCAAACTACACATTGACCAAGAAGAAAGATTTCTAAGTTCTGTGGTCTACACATTAGAAAAAGCAAATTAAAGGAATAAACAGCAGGAGAAATGGGTACAAAAAACAATGATATATAACTTTCCTTATTGAAAAAAATGTGAAAATGCAAAGAAATGCAGTTTTATTTCCACAAGGAAAATCTTTATTTCTCTCGTTTAGTCTTAGTTTGTGAGTAAAACCATACGCTAGTGAAAATCCAAAGATTTTTGAAGATGAGTGGACTTAAGAATTATCAAAGGCAGCTGTGAGGTCACCAATTTATTTGACACCTTAACTTTAGAAAAGATTTGACGCTATTTTCAACAGCAAGATTATGTTTTATAAAATCCTTTAGAAAACTAAAATCTAGGATTTGTTGATGAAAATTAATTTAAATAACAACAGTATGCACAAGCAAATATATTTTCCTTGTTCAAGATACTGCTTTCTGATGTTCTGTTGATGTGTTTTAGGAATATTTCTATGGATTGATTTAAAGTTCATGGTTGGGTGATGACTAGCAGAGCTTGGGTCATTGTTTGTACCGTTCCGTACAGGACACTGCAGTCTGTCTTCTTGCCATAACCCGCTACATGAAGTTAACCTATTCAAGTGGTCAAAACACTGTCACCTTCAGCAGTGAAGAATCCAATGAGATTTTCCAGGTTAACAGTGATAACCGTTTACTGGTCCAACGCTCAGAATTAACAAAAGCCCATGGACAATACACAATAGATGTGGAAGGACAAGGTTGTACATTCATCCAGGTAATAGAAATCTACCCAAGAAGGAAGTGCCAAACTATCTGTTCAGTTATATATGAAGTGTTATTTTGCCATTTCAAATATTTCCATGATTACCTCTACTCTCTCTCATTTGTTTTCTAATCATAATAGCTGAAAATGAAAGTCATTTATGAAGAGGCACCACTCTAAGTATAACTGGCTAACAGAAATTTCTTGAGAAATAGTACTGTTTGAAAGTATTTTATCTTTATTAAATTATGTTGTTAAAGATTCTGTGTCTTTTGAAAACCAAATAATTTAAATTAGCCTAACAGTAAAGATGTAAAGTATGTTAAAAGTGGAAATAAAGAAATAACAAGTCCTTGAATTCTTACTACAGGATGGGTTTTCTCATGATTTGCTATCCTTTCTAGGCCACCCTTAGGTATAATGTGCTACTACCTAAAAAGACATCTGGATTTTCCCTTCACTTGGAAACAGTAAAGAATAACTCTTCAGATACATTCCAGACTAATTTTGGTCTCACAGTGATCCTCAAGTAAGTGTCACATTTTTATATCAGCTCCTAAGATAGAGATATGCTAATATATCAAAAAAGAATTTTCTTTTTCTTTCTATTTTTTTTAAAGAACAGATATAATTTTTTTATTTTAACTTCTCAATATACAGTGTAGTTGATTTTCATGTCCCTTTACCCATTCCTCTTCCCCACCAAGAACAGATATAATTTTAACTATAAAATTAGCATTTTTAAAAAATTTTATTTAACTTCTCAACATACATTGTAGTTGATTTTCATGCCCCTTTACCCATTCCTCTCCACCCCTCCCCTCCCCCCACCACATATATCTGTTCACTTGAATTTAAAAGTTCAAGGAATTTTTGTGATTGTCGTGTCTTCTCTCCCTCCCCATTATTTGTTTGTGAGTGTATTTATTTATTCATTCATTCATTCATTCATTCATTTTTAGCTCCCACGAATAAGTGAGAACATGTGGTATTTCTCTTTCTGTGCCTGACTTGCTTCACTTAATATAATTTTCTCTAGGTCCATCCATGTTGTTGCAAACGGTAGTATTTCATTCTTTTTTATAGCAGAGTAGAATTCCACTGTGTAGATATATCACAGTTCCCTTATACACTCATCTGATGATGGACATTTGGGCTGGTTCTAACTCTTGGCTATTGTAAATAGAGCTGCAATAAACATGGGAGTACAGGTATCCCTTCGGCTTGATGATTTCCATTCCTCTGGGTATATTCCCAGCAGTGGGATAGCTGGGTCATATGGTAGATCTATCTGTAATTGTTTGAGGAAACCCCATACCATTTTCCATAAAGGCTGCACCATTTTGTAACCCCACCAACAGTGTATGAGAGTTCCTTTTTCTCCACAAGCTCTCCAGCACTTATCATTTTCAATCTTTTGGATATTAGCCATCCTAACTGGAGGGAGATGTTATCTCAAAGTGGTCTTCATTTGCATTTCCTGGATGCTGAGTGAAGTTGAGCATTTTTACATGTGTCTGTTGGCCATTCATATATCTTACTTTGAGAAGTGCCTATTCAGTTCCCTTGCCCATTTTTTAATTGGGTTATATGGTTTTTTGCTGTACAGTTGTTTGAGTTACTTGTATATTCCGGATATTAATCCTTTGTCAGATGTATATTTTGCAAATATTTTCTCCCACTCTGCTGGTTGTCTTTTTACTCTGTTGATTGTTTTGCTGTGCAGAAGCTTTTTAGTTTGGTATAATCCTATTTGTTTATTTTTCCTTTAGTTGCCTGTGCTTTTTGGGTCCTATTCATAAAGTCTATACCCATTCCTACATCCTAGAGTGTTTCCCCTATGTTTTCTTTAAGGATTTTATTGTTTCAAGATGTATATTTAATTCTTTAATCCATTTTGAATTGATTATGGTATATGGTGAGAGGTACAGGTCTAGTTTCATTCTCCTACATATGAGTATCCAGTTTCCCAGCAGCATTTGGTGAAAAGGCAGTCTCTTCCCCAGTATGTAGACTTGCTGACTTTGTCAAAGATCAGATGGCTGTAGCCATATGGGTTAATTTCTGGGTTCTGTATTCTATTCCATTGATCCATGTGTCTGTTTTTATGCCAGGACCATGCTGTTTTTGGTTATTATAGCTTTGTAGTATAGTTTAAAGTCAGGTAGTGTTATGCCTCTGGCTTTATTTATTTATTTATTTATTTTTGCTCAGAATTGCTTTGGCTATGCGTGGTCTTTTGTTATTCCATATAAATGTCTGGATAGCTTTTTCAATCTCTGAGAAAAATGTTATTGGAATTTTGATGGGGGTTGCATTGAATTTGTATATCACTTTGGGTAGTATAGACATTTTCACAACGTTGATTCTTCCAATCCAAGAGCATAGGATATCTTTCCATCCTCTTGTGTCCTCTTTAATTTCTCTCAGCCATGGCTCATTATAGAGATTTTTCACATCCTTGGTTAACTCAATTCCTAAGTTTTTTATTTTTTTGGTGCCTATTGTCAATGGGCTAGCTTTCTTGATTTCTTTTTCTGCATGTTCACAGTTGGAGTATAGAAATGCTACTGTTTTTTGTGTGTTGATTTTGTATCCTGCAAATTTGCTGAAATCATTTATTAACTCTAGGAGGATTTTTTTTTGTTTTGTTTTGTTTTGTAGAGGCTTTAGGCTGTTCAATATATTGTATCATATCATCCACAACAGGGACAGTTTGATTTCATCCTTTCCAATCTGGATGCCCTTTATTTCCTTCTCTTCTCTGATTGCTCTGGCTAGTACTTCCAACACTATGTTGAATAGGAGAGGTGAGAGTGGGCATCCTTGCCTAGTTCCTGTTCTGTTCAGGATGATATTGGCAGTGGGCTTATTATATATGGCTTTAATTATGTTGAGATACTTTCTGTGTATGCCTAACTTGTAGAGAGTCTTTATCATGAAAGAATGTTGAATTTTGTCAAATACTTTTTCAGCAGCTATAGAGATGATCATATGGTCTTTGTCTTTGTTTTTATTGATATGGTGTATCAAATTTATTGATTTGTGTATGTTCAACCAACATTGCATCCCTGGGATGAATCCCACTTGATCATGGTGTATAATTTTGTGTATGTTTTGCTGTATTCTGTTAGCTAGTATTTTATTGAGGACGTTTGCATTTATATTCATCAAGGATATTGGCCTGTACTTTTCTATTTTGATGCATCTTTGTCTGGTTTTGGTATCAGGGTGATGTCTGCCTCATAGAATGAGTTTGGGAGAATGGCCTCTGTTTCAAACTTTTGGAACAGTTCGTAGACAATTGGTATCCTCTTTGAAGGTTTGGTAGAACTCTGCAGTGAACCCATCTGATCCTGGGCTTTTCTTTGTTGGGAGCCTTCTGATAACAGCTTCAATCTCTTTTATTGTTATTGGTCTGTTTGGGTTTTCTATATCTTCTCACCTCAGTTTTGTTAGTTTGTATGTGTCCAGAAATTTATCCATTTCCTCCAGATTTTTTAATTTGTTGGCATATCGGGAGCGCCTCCGCGCTTCCCAAGCGGCGCACTAGCGCAGTGCGCCACCGGGCCGGCCCCTGGGTCTTCTCTCTTCTTTTCTTAGTTAGCCTTGCTAAAAATTTGTTGATTTTATTTATTTTTTCAAAAGACCAACTTTTTGTTTCATTGATCTTTTGTATTATTTTTTGGGTTTCTATTTCATTTAGTCCTGCTCTGATCTTAATTATTTCTTTCTGTCTACTAACTTTGGGCTTGGATTGTTCTTGTTTTTCTAGATCCTTAAGATGAAGTGTTATGTTGTTTATTTGTCATCTTTCCATTCTTCTGAAGTAAGCATTTAATGTGATAAATTTCCCCCTTAATACTGCTTTTGCAGTATCCCACAGGTTTTGGTATGATGTGTCATTATTTTCATTAGTTTCCAGAAATTTTTTGATTTCCTGTTTAATTTCTTCTTGGACCCACATGTCTTTAAATAGAATGTTGTTTAATTTCCATGTGTTTGTATAGTTTCCAGAGTTTCGTTTATCATTGATTTCTAATTTTAATTCATTTTGATCTCAAAAAAATACATGGAATAATTCCAATTTTTTTGAATTTGTTGAGATTTGCTTTGTGACCTAACATGTGGTCTATCCTAGAGAATGTTCCATGAGCTGATGAGAAGAATGAGTATTCTGAGGTAGTTGGATGGAATGTTCTGTAGATATCTTCCAAGTCCAATTGGTCTAGAGTATTGTTTAGATCTTGTGTTTCTCTGCTGATTCTTTGCCTAGATCATCTGTCCAATATTGACAGTGGGGTGTTCAGGTCCCCTGCTATTATGGTATTAGTGTCTATCTCATTCTTTAGATCTAATAGTGTTTGCTTTATAAATCTGGCTGCTCCAACATTGGGTGGGTATATATTTATGATGGTTATGTCTTCTTGGTGGATAGATCCTTTTATCATTATATAGTGGCCTTCTTTGTCTCTTTTTATGGTTTTTGTTTTAGAGTCTATTTTATCTGATATAAGAATAGCTATTCCAGCTCGTTTTTCATTTCTATTTGCATGGTATATCTTTTTCCATCCTTTCACTCTTAGTTTATGTGTGTCTTTACAGGTCAGGTGAGTCTCTTGAAGGCAGCATTTTGTTTGGTCGATCTTTTTAATCCAATCAGTCAGTCTGTCTTTTGAGTGGGGAATTCAATCCCTTTACATTTAGAGTTATTATTGAAAGGTGTTGACTTACTCCTAGCATTTTATTGATTTTTGATTAAATGTCTTAAGCACCTTTTGTTTCTTTCTTTCTGTATTTGTTGGTTTGTCTTCTGTATTTGTTGGTTCCTCAGAGTGATAAACTATTTTTTTTCTCTTTTGTTAGCATTTTGTTTTGCTGGTAAGTATTGTTCTTTCTTGAGTATTCATGGCAGTGATGGTTGTTTTTGTGGTGTCAAACACAGTACTTCCTTGAGAATTTCTTTTAGGGCTGGTTGTGTTGTAGTGAACTCCCACAGTTTTTGTCTGAGAAATATACTATTTGTTCTTCATTTTGGAAGGATAGCCTTGCTGGGTAAAGTATTCTTGGCTGGCAATTTTTGTCCTTTAGTGTTTTTAATATATCATCCCGTTCTTTTCTGGCTTTCAGGGTTTCTGATGAAAAGTCTGATGTTATTCTGATTGGGGCTCCCTTATAGGTGACTTGATGCTTCTCTCTTGCAGCTTTTAGGATTCTCTCTTTGTCAGTTTGATTATCACATGTCTTGGAGAGGACCTTTTTGGGTTGGATGTATTTGGGGATCTTTGGCTAAAGATCTGTGACTTTCCCTATACCTGGGAAGTTTTCAGCTATTATTACATTGAATATGTTTTCAATGCTGTTTCCTTTTTCCTCCCCTTCTGGAATATCCATGATGTGGATATTTGAGCGCTTGAGGTTGCCTGTTGTCTCTCTTAGATTTTCTTCAATTTTTAAATTCTTTTTTCTTTTTTCTGGTCTGCCTGTGATAATTCAAACAGCCTGTCTCAAGGTCATAAATTCTCTCTTATGCTTGTTCTAGTCTGCTGGTTAAACTCTCTGTTGTGTTTTTTATTTCTATGAATGAATCCTTCAGCTCTACAAGCTCAGCTACGTTCTTTTTCAAGGCATTGATTTCTGTGTACATTTCTTCTTTCAGATCCTGTATATTTTTTCCCATTTCATTGTGTTGTCTGAGTTTTCTTGTATCTCATTTAGTTTCCTTAGAATTATCACTCAAAATTCCTTGTCAGACATTTCAAGGGCTTCTTATTCTATAGGATCTAGAGCTTGAGAGCTATTATTTTCCTGTGGTGGTAATGTAGTTTCTTGATTTTTCATATTTCTGGTATCTTTCCTTTGGTGTCTTCTCATTGTGACAGGGGGTATCACAGTCCATTTGTTTCACCCTAATTTCTGGCTTGGATCCTGAAGGGACTGCCAATTCTGGGCAGCAGGAACTAGCCTAAGATGGGGGTCCTATGGCACCTGCTTGTTCTGAGACAGCTGACTTAGGGCGTGGGGGCCCAGAGGCTTTTAAGTCTCTCTCAGCAGTAAGGACCAGCCTGTGTTGGCGATCCTGCCCCACCTGCCTTCTTCTGGCATGGCTGGCTCAGGGTGTAGGGGCCCCAAGGTTCTTAAGTATTTCCCGATGGTGGAGACGGCACAGACTGGAGGTCCCGCCCTGCCTGCCTTCTTCCAGCAAAGCTGGCTCAGGGCCTGGGGGCCCAGAAACTCTAAAGTCTCTCTATGCAGTGGGGAGCAACCTGGATTGGGGAACTATGGCACCCGGTTCTTGCCTGTTTTGGTGCAGATCTTGGGCCCTCTGTCATTGCTCCTTAATAGTTGCAAATTGATCACTCTGTGGAAGTGAAGGACACCAGGAACCAACTACTCCACCATCTTGACCAGAACTCAAAAAAGAATTATTTTAAACAGTAGTGAGATAATAAAATATGAATGGTGGTAACTACAATGAGTTCGCATGTTTATGGTGGTATTTCTATAGCATAGTCACTTTGTAGCTCTCTGTATAGACACTACAATTTAGTACTTCTTTAGCTTACTCAGAGCTGGAATTATGCAAATACTATAATTTGCACTCTAAGCAAGTATAATTTGAAAGCTTTTGCCACACTGATATTCCAGAAATGCTTTTGTTTTGTTATATGGAAGTACTGTCAGTTTTGGATAATGCTGATACTACATTTCCTCTTCAAGACCAGCACAGGTGGCCCTTTAGTAGAAAGCCCACAAATGTTTATTTTATTACTGTTAAAGCAAAATTTTATATTTTTACTTTTCAGAATAGGAAAACAAAATAATAATCTTAAATTTAAATATCATTTATAGATACCAAAGGGTTTTAGCCTAGTTAATGTGTAGAGAAACACTGAGTAAAATTAGTTTGGGAGATTTTTCTTAGGATTTCTAAGTGAAAATCTTTCGAACACCAGAGCTAAAAACTAAGTACATTGTCATGTCCCAGCAATGCTATCCAGAGGCAGAAACACGATCTAGAAGGTCTCTTGGGGACATGTCTACTCTATAATTTTGCCAATGTACTGCCTCTTAAACAGAGAATTCCTCTAAGTGTTATGCAAATCTAAGGCTAACATAAGTAAGTGCAATATAAATTTATGAGCTTTGTTTATAAGTTCTAACTTGGAGACCTCAGGTAAGCCTAAGAACAGAGTTACGGGAGATTTTAGGTCCAGATAATTTAATCCTTGCTTCAACTCGTGTTGCTTTGTGTCATCTCATCCATTATCACTCTGGTTGGGCCTTTTCTCAGATAATTGAGAATTACTTTCTTCAGGTATCTCCTCTTCAATTTTTATCTGTCCTCCAGACTTCTAAACAATTAGTATCTATCTGCCACCCTCACCATGAGATAAGCCACTTTTCTAAAATGATCTCTAAATTTGCGGTGGGGGGAGGTTGTTCGCTATTTTTTGTTTTTAAATTTCAGATATACCGGAATTCGCAATAATTCCAACATGGTCCTTGTTGATGTAAAAATGTTATCAGGATTTACTCCAGTCATGTCATCCATTGAGGAGGTAAATAATAGAACACCAATCTATCAGCACAGAGAAAGTGACATAGAGATGAAATAAATAATAGTTTAGCAAAACAAATATCATGAAATTTTTTAAACAAACTTCTTCACAGCTCACATTTATATTTTTGCTCTAACACTGGAGGGATAGGGTTCTAAATCTGTAGCAATCAGCAGTCAGTATTTACCATGGCTCATAATAGTGTTTGTTTAGTTCCTACTTGTACTTATGAAAACACTGTCGCACAAAGGAACGCTCCATAGAACAGAACCTCACAAAATAAAAAGCATGAGCATTCCGTTTTGGAATGACACTCTCATTTGTTCTAATGTCTGTCCCCCATCCTTCCCTGCCAATTCTTCAAAGCTCGAAAACAATGGCTGGATGATGAAGACTGAAGTCAAGAATGACCATGTTCTTTTCTACTTGGGAAATGTAAGTTCAGCAATAATTCTTTTTCTTTCATGGTTCTCCTTTTTTATTATGAAGGTAATTGGATGTTTCTACTTTAATGACCATGTTCTTTTCTACTTGGGAAATGTAAGTTCAGCAATAATTCTTTTTCTTTCATGTCTCTCCTTTTTTATTATGAAGGTAATTGGATGTTTCTACTTTTCATATACATGATAGAATTTCTTTAAAAAAAATACAGGGCATTGAAGATGATCACTGTTCTGTTTCCCTGGTCATCTTCTCCCTGTTTACTCTAGAGTTATTTCATATATGCTGTGGTTACCTGACTACATAGTTCTCAAGTTTAGAAATATCATCTCCCTGTTTTACGTTCCTCACAGCATCTAATATACTGTGATCACAGAGTAGATGTGTAATTCTAAAGTATAACAATGGTTATGTAGTATAACTTTAAAGTTTGACTTAAACGCCAACAAAAACTGGCATGATTTTTAAAATTATTTTTAATTGCAATTGTATATATTTAAGGTGTATAGCATGATGTTTTGATATACATACAAACAGTGAACTGATTATTACAACCAAGCTAATTAACATATCCATCTCTTCACATAGTGGCTTTTTCTTTTTTGTTTTCTTTCTTTCTTTCTTTTTTTGGCAGCTACCTGTAAAGGAATCTGAACCTTTGACTTTGGTGTTAGCACCACACTCTAACCAACTGAGCTAATCAGCCAGCTCCCTTTTCTTTTTGGTTGTGAAAACACTTGTGATCTACTCTCTTAGCAAATTTCAAATATACCGTTCAATATTATAAACAATAAAGCTCATCCTGTACATTAGATCTCTGAAATTTATTCAATCTACATAACTGAAACTTTGTATCCTTTGACCAACATCACCTCATTTCCTTAACCCTGGTAACTATCATTCGACTTCCTGCGTCTATGAATTAGAATTCTTTGGATTCCACTGATAACTGAGATCATGCAGTATTTTATGTGTGTGTTTGATTTATTTCACTTAGCATAATGTCCTTCAAGTTCATCAATGTTGTCAGAAATGGCAGGATTTTCTTCTTTTTAGAGAGTGAATAATTTTCCACCATATATATACCATAATTTTTTTATCCATTCATGTATCAATGTACACTTGCATTGTTTCCATATCTTGGCTATTGAGAATAATGCTGCAATGAACATGGGAGTGCAGAAATCTTAAAAATGCTAATCTCATTTTCTTTGGATGCATACCCAGAAGTGGGATTGCTGGATCATATGATAGTTCTACTTTTAATTTTTGAAACTCCAAACTGTGGCAGGAGTTTTAAAGCCATCCGTACTGTGTATACTTAGTTACCATTCACATAAGTACCCATATTCCTCTAATGCTTAAAACTAAATTCCTTGCTCCTCAATATAAGCAATGGAACTTAAAATTTTATATGACATAATATTAACTAACTCATTATATTGCCACTATGTAAAATAATGATACTCTATTGGGTAGATCATGAACCTCTGGAGATAATTTGCTCAGGGATTTTCTATTTTCAGATGTGCTGTGATGTATCTATGATTGGTGTCTTTATAGGTTTCTGGTACAGCAAAGAGTTTTACTTTTTCTATTGAGCAAAGAAACTTCGTGTCCAACATTCAGCCAGCCCCGGTCATGGTCTACGATTATTATGAAAAAGGTACGTGTCTTTATAGGTTTCTGGTACAGCAAAGAGTTTTACTTTTTCTATTGAGCAAAGAAACTTTGTGTCCAACATTCAGCCAGCCCCGGTCATGGTCTACGATTATTATGAAAAAGGTAGGCAATCAACAACAATGCCCTAAGACTATTGAATATGACATCTATCTCTCTCATTTTTTGAGCTACTAAATTTTCCAAAGTCATCCTTCATTTTCAAAGACTAGACAATAGATTATTTTACTGTGTATACTAATTTTCTCTTTCACTTTTTTATGATGTATCTTTTGACTGGGCCGTTTTCCAGTTACCGGAGTTTTTTTTTAACACTTAGAATCCTTTAAATATAAGAAAGGGCTCCCCTTTAACTCCCCTTAACATGAAATATGAATCATGCTAAGCTTCCAGGTCTTTTTGTTATTGTCATTGTTTTTAATGTCAATACTTCCCATTGCATGCTACGTCAATGGACTTTGACTTAAGAAGGGGAGTGGGCAATATTCTGAAATGCTATAGGAAAATTTTGATAGATTAAGTTCCAAAACAATTGCTAAGATGTTGTAGAGAGCACACAACTTTTTCCTGGCAGGTCAGTCCTATTAGTTTCTTGCTGAATATCAAATGAAGTCTGTTAAGGAGTATTTGAATTCTGTCTCTGCCATTTACTAGTTGAAAGTATTTCATCAAGTGCTTGAGTTTCAATAGGATATGGCTGGATTTATAAAATGGGAGAATGATTGCCTCTCTTGCCAAGTCATTGAAAATATTAGATCTAATGTGTTTATATATTCTGACATAGTCTTGTTATAGACAGTTGGAGATTTAAAAATGATGCATGCCCCTTTACATTCCAGATGAATATGCCCTTGTTTTTTACAACATCAACAGTACTTCAGTTTCCCAGTGAGACAAAGCAAAGCACGGGAAAAGCTAAGGAAATTATGCACATTGTAGACCATTCAAAGCACATCTGGTTAGAAAATGAAAACCCAAAGAATGTAAAATAACAGGTGAAGCAAAGCATATTCTACACACAATTTTGTGTAGCTCTGTGTACTAGAGGAGTATTTTAAGTTATCAAGATTTTATTTATTTTTAAATATAGTTTTAAATAATTCACAGGTATATACGTACCTTTCATAAATCTCTCATTTTTGTTTTATAAGGTGACAGGTCATTAAATATATATGCACACATATTTGTACACATGCACGTATACTTTATATGTATATATGAGTATATTTGTTTATGTGTATATATGCATGTTTTCATATTTATCTGTCTCTATATACATAAACACATTTATTTATTATTTAAACTATGTTTTAAGTTCCAGGTGGAAAACTATTTCTTCGAACAAACTCATTATATTGTATCAAACCTGGGAGAAAACCATGACCACCTCACATCCTCAACAATCTTCAATCCGCTATGATTTCTTGTCAGACTGTATTTCTTTATTATCCTATTAAACATTGTCACTTCACATGAGAGTCGATGATTTTCTTTTCTTCCACTACTCCATTTACAGTTTTTACTTGAAAAAATCAGGGCTTTGTTTGATAGCAAGTTGAAAATTTACTCTATTGTTGTCAACTCTGAATTCAAGTTTTTAGACATTATGGCATACAGAATTAGAATTCTCCAACATCCAAAGAAAGAAAAAGAAAGAAGGAGGTGGGGGAAGGGAGAGAAAGAGGCTAAGTGAAAGTTGAAAAGGACTCTACGTGAGCTCAAGAAAGCAAAAATAAACACAAAAAGACACACAGACACTTGTCAATGAAAGATCATCAAAGAATAGAGAAAAAAAGTAGAAAAGGGTTACAAATTAAGAGACGGATTTGTTGAGTTCATATACAAGATCAAGAGGGTAATCCAAGGACATTTTATCTTTCTAAAAATTATGCTGTTTTTCTGAGCTTATCACTTATTACTGAAAAGTAATACTCAACATCTATCCTTTGCCTAATTTGACACCACTATTATAGCAATGAATTAATAGAGAGAGGAGCAGGAAGAAACTGGAGAAATAGAGAAGGAAATGAGAACAATTACTCTATTAACTTTAATTCAGGCTTCTGACTTTGCTGAATTACTGCTGCAGACAAAAGTAAGCTCTAGATAAGTTCTCCAGTTCTGGAATTATAAGAAGTTGGAAACAGGGCCTCCTAGACTCTATTTGTATTCAATAAATTAAAAATATAAGGTATTTTAATAGAAGATGGTAAGATTTATTTATACTCGTAGTCTCCCTGCCCAGTGTGTGCTGCTTATAGTGCCTAAATTACAACTGGGTCTTTAATAAATATGTTTATCAACTGATGTGTCATACATGAACAGCTAGTGTATATCTGTTGATGCTACATAAGTTTACTTCACTGTGTCAAAAATTCCTTTATACCCTTTCAGTTCTCCTATTGTTCCAAAGCATGTCACTTAAGTAAGACACCAGCACTCATAATTTTTAAAAACATCCCAGGCTCTATGGATATTTAAGAATTCCATGCAAGGGAAATGTGACTTTTCTAGTATACTTTTGTGATGAAAGTTCAAGGAAAATGAAGGGAGTTTACTTTGTGGCATATGACATCTCTTTGTGGGAAACCTTTCTATTTTAATTTTTTGCCTAAGTAAATAATCAACTCTCAGTCCTCATTTTGCTTATGTATTCAACAGTCAGCCTGGTCACATAATAAAATTATTCCTCTAATTATAAGCAAGCAAGGAGGGCATGGTGAAAGAATCTAGGATTTAATGTTTACATTTGCAAAATTTCTCTATGTCACAATAATCATAAGAGGTAACAGGAAACTGAGATCAAAATACCATGTTAAGAACAGAAGGGCATAGATGAACAACAAAGCTCTGTTACTTTTAATTAAAATATTCCCCCAGTTTCTTTTAGAACAGAGTACCAAAGTCATTTCCCGTGTCCAAATTTTCATAGAAAATGATACATAACAGACATTCTGGTTTAGGAGGTCTGAATTGGAAATGCAAAGCTCTGATGTGAGTGTGAGTGTGTGTATGTGTGTGTGTATATGTGTGTGTGTGTTTTAGAAGAGCTCTCTAGTAAACAAGACCACCATGGAATATTCCCTGGAGGATGCATGGCTCTGGTTTGAGTGAGGCCTGTGTTAACAAGCACTGCATGGCGCTTTGATCTCTGCACTTCCCCCTCCATAAGAAAGTACTTTGGATAATGGGAATAATTCACTCCCTCTATCATGTCCTTATATAGCAACCACACAGATTTTTTTTGCATTTTGAAATAAATTATACAAGCAGCTGAAACACTTAACACTTACATTTCCTTTACTATCTTCTAGAAATCTCATCTCCTTTGGCTGCCTTCTCATCCCATCAATTTTGTCTTCTTCCTCTTTTCTTTAGCCTCAGTCTCTTCCCATTATTTTTTTTTTTTCTTCCAATATCACATAATGATTTGAAATGTTTTCCATAATATGCCCATTCTTCTACTTTCTGGATATTTAATGATATGTAATGATATTTTTGACTCTACTTTCTTTTTCTAAACATTAAATAATTTTTTCATGATTCTATTGCAAGCCCTTTTCTCACTATGCACACTAAAAATTGTCATTTAAATTGTCATCTGTAGTTTAAGATTCTCAGATATATGCCTCTATATCTACATTTGAGCCCCATATATCACATTACCTACTGTAGGTCTTTAATTGAATGTCCCACAGGCACCTCCATGGAGTCTACCCCAGCCTAGTTTCTCCAACTAAGTTACTACCTCAGTGTGTAATAATATCATCACCAATCGCCTTAGTAGCAGCCTTAACTCCTTCCCTCTCTCCTCTCTCACATTCTGTCAAATACTGTTGATAATTGACGATTGTTGATCCACCTCCTGAATGACTCATGAATCCACTTGCTTTTATTCACCACTGCCATGCTGTTTTAGTTCAGACCACCAGTCTTGAGTGCCTATAGTTGCTAAACACTCCTTTAGGTGTTTAGGATATTTCAATGAATAAAAATAATAAGACACAGCTGCTCTTGTGGTGCTTACATTCTAATGGGGGAGACAAATTATAATACAATCAGACAATATATGCAGACATAATCAACATAATAGATAAGCAAAGTGCTGGAAATTAGAAGGTGATAAGTGCTATGGAAAATATTAATGTAGAGAAGGGTAAGAGGATCTAGAACGCCCTGGGAGATGGGAAGAGGGGGAAAGCTGAAATGCTAAACATGAGGTTTAGGGCCAATCTCACTGAGGCAGTGACACGTGAGCAAAGGCTCGAAGGAGGTGAGGAAGTTAGACATGTAGATATCTTGGGGAAGACTATTTCTAGAAGCGGGATCAGCTAAGGGGGAAAGAAAAAAGCCCCTAACATGGAAACGTGTCTTGTGTGTTCAAGGAGCAGCAACTAAATTGACATGGCTAGAGCAGAGAGAGCAAAGAGGAGCATACAGCGGAAGGCAGAGAGACAGGAATTCTTAAGGGGGAGCAAGATCAGGCACGAGATTGCGGATCATTGTTAGGACCTTGGCTTTCACTCGGAGCAAATCTGGGACCTACTGCAGGGTTTTAGATAAAGGAGTGATCTGATCTGGTTATGTTTTGAAATGATCGCCTGTTTGCTGTGTTGAGAATAGATTGTAGGAGAGCAAGAACAGACGTGAGGAGACCTGCAGAGGCTGTCACAGTAATCCAGGCAAAAGGTGATGGTGGCTTGGGATGCATTGGCGGAGAAGATAAGAAGAGATCAGATTCTGTGTATTTGTTGAAGATAAAACCAACAGGATTTCCTGATAGATTGGATGCAAGGAACAAAGAAAAGATTGATCAGAGATTATTTCCATCCTTTTGGCCCGAGCTATGGGAAGGATAGAATTGCCATTGCCTGAGCTAGCCATTGTTGCAGTAAGTTCGGGGTAGAAGTTTAGGAATTCATCTTTGAGCTTTTGATTTTATATACTTGAGTAGCAATGCCAAATTAGAAGTTGAACAATCAATATAGGATTTTGAGAGAGAGCTCTAAGTTAAAAATATAAATTTGGTAGTTGTTAGCACATAGACCATTAGATGGGAAGAAATCATTCAGGCAATAAGTCTGGATAAAGAAGAGAAATGAGGACTTCACTGTAAGACTCTGTAACATTAAGGGGTTGGGGAGGGAAGGTGGAGAAGGAATCAGCTAAAGGACTATGAAGGAGAAATCAGTGAAATAAGATGAAAACCAAAACAGTGTGGTCTCCTGGAAGCCAAGTGAAAAACCAGATCAAGGAAAAAGGAGTGATCACCAACATCAAATGCTGCTGATTAAGTAAAACAATGACTGCAAATTGATCATTTACTAATTTAGGAAGAAAGAAATGTTACCCATTTTATTTGTCCCATAAGGAACATCATGGGGTCATTTCCCCTGGGTGACATAGATGCAAAGGATTACTCAAAGCCCATCTCATCTGAGCAGTGAGAGACCCCGAAGTGGTTTATCTCCCACCGGAACCCTCAAGTGAGAGGCATCCCTTCCTCAGGAAATTAACCCTGAATTGTGGTTCTCTTCCTGCATTTATTTTCCAGACCAGGAAGTTACAGGAAGAGAACATAGGAGGGGTTATAGTTTAACAATATAGGCTGGTAACTTTCAGTGGAACAAGCCAGATGACATTCCATTAGACAATTAAGTGATCTTACAGCAATTTCTCAGTATCTTTACATAACAATCAATAACTAGTCTGTCCTTGAGCCAGCAACCTGCTGTGCCACAAATCTTACACCAGAGACTTTATAGCCTGAGGAAAATTTCCAGTCCTCCACAAGGTCAACATTTGAAACTGCAAGGCTTTGGAAAACCAGGCCCTGTGAAGTACATTTGCTTTAAGAATCCTCTACAACATCATATACCAAAGTAAATTGCATCCATTCTTCTTGGACCTTTATG